TTGTATAACACCTTGTTTATGAAAGACAGTACTGTACTGTTACCTACTGCAGACAATGAACACTTTATACTTCAACCTATGATACAGTACAGTACAGGTACAGTATATGAAATTAATGAATGCATTATCTTAATACTGTAGAGAACAATATGTTCCACAAAATATGATACAGTATGAGGATATGCTTTATACTGTACAGTATACAGCCTGTACAGTCACATTTATAATTAATATTATCAAATAAATTTAAGAAATTTTCATAATTTTGTATGAAAAAGTATAAAAATTAAATTTTAACTGGAAAGACAGTAAAGAAGACACTACTGTATCATGTACAGTAAATTGGTAACTTGCTGCAGGCTTTAAAATCCACAAATCCCAAATGTGCTGACTTACACTACCTGGTAACCAAATTTATTCAGATAAATATGATCACAGTAGTTGATAGATATACAGTGTTTAACACTTTGATAAACTGACAACAAGCATCAGTGAACTATGAATGATTGTACAGTATAGTTGAGGCTTACTACTGTACTGAGTGATATATAAACTAAGTTTCACACTTAGGTACAGTAAAGTGGCTAGTTTTGTTAAAATAAGATAGTTCAGTAATGATTTTTGTTAATTCACCCAAGACCAAAGCAATGGAGGCCATTTCATAAGAATACTGTACAGTACTGGACTGTAAAATCAAAGTGCAGTAATGGAAATTGTAAAGCTCACTTTGAAACACTTTTGTACTGAAATACTTTAAACCAGGGGCACAAATCAACCAGTGGGAAAAATACGAACAGGCCCCGTAAACTCAAAAAAATTTCAGTAAATAATTTAAGATTTTTTTTTGCAGGTAGCCCACTTCATTCCCCAAAAGTGCTGTTAAAACTAAGTCTCTATGTCTGTTTATCTCCGAAAAGTGGCTACTAGAAAAGAAATTGTAATAAATCCATGAAAAACAACCCTTTTCCATTTTTTTTAATTGCTTGGCATCTGATGAGGATTCATTGTACCCTATATAATATAATCAGTATGTTTGCCTTGCAAGCGATTGGAACCGGGTTTGATTCCTGGGCAGGGTGAAACTATGAGCAAGTTTCTTTATGCCATTTGCCTCTGTCTACCCAGCTATAATTGGCGACCTAGATGTTAATCGATTTGCGGATTGTGTTCCAGGGTAATGGTTAGCCAGTGCAGTTAGTGGGTTGTCTGGTCTTCTCGGACTATTCCTTGATACTGGGTCATGCAACTCGTTAACTTAGGGTGTGGTTGTTTGTGTTGACGGCAGCTTCTACACCTTTAACAAATCCACGCCTAGGTGGCCCTAGGGCCAACAAACATCCTCGAATATATGTACTTGTAAATAAAATTTGCTTGTATATAACTGTGTTATATTATACGACAATATGATTAGTTTCAAATAATGATGTTAGTAAATGCCGGTACAGTGCATCAGTGATCAGTGTGACCACTGGGCCGTGAGTGGAGAGCATGGCATGGTTAACTGCATGACCTACCTAAGCTGTTTGGTGGCCACAGGTACTGTACAGTGATTCCTAAAAGAGTATTCACATTTTTGGCTTTTCGCGGGGGTTTCAGGAACGTAATTCCCGCGAAAAACACAGGATTACTGTACTGTAATATCTCTAATATATGGCCCTCAAAATCAGTCAAAATATACAATAATGGTGTCAATGGATTCACATGCAGAAAATCAGTTACATTTAAAACTTAATTTGAAACTCAAATCAGTATAATAGGTGAAACTTAACATAAACATGCCTGGAAATGTGTTACGACAGAGCAACATGAACAGTTTACCTTGTGTTTGTTTTTATATACAGTATAGCATTTAATGATTCTTAGGAAAAATGCAGCATGAATAATGCAAAACACAGGTATCTTATCACCTACAGCAAAAGAAATTGTATAGACAGACTTTTCATCAACATGATGCAAAAAATTTAGCTAAATTGTATATGATGCTACAATTGATTAGAGGATTACGTTTCACACTTTCCCATTTCTACAACTCTAAAATGAACCTCCTTCATCTATATCTGACAGACTGCTGGAGCTGCTACTATCTACAGTATTTCAAATGGTATGGGATCATCTGATGATGATTCAGTCAGAATCTTCTGGCATTAATTTTCTCTGGGTTCTAGATTTTATGGGTCAATTTATGCACACAATTATACTTGTACAAAGGTAAAAAAATAGTGTGTATACATGTCTACAAGTGTTTTGTGCAGATGGGGTAAAAAAACAATTAATTTTTTATTCCAAACATGGGACACCAGCTTGGGGCAAAAAAAATAAATACATGCACACAAAGACACTGACACAGTGTATGTTTTATTTCTCCTAATGCTTGAAACATTTCTTCACACTTTCTTATAATATATATATATATATATATATATATATATATATATATATATATATATATATATATATATATATATATATATATATATATATATATTATATATATATATATATATATATATATATATATATATATATATATATATATATATATATATATATATATATATATATATATATATATATATATATATATATATATATATATATATATATATATATATATATATATATATATATACACACCCCTGTATATATAGCTATTCCCCGACTTACGACCTACTCGACTAACGACCACCCAGACATACGACCGCCTCAGCCGTACCAAAATTTTGTCAAATTACGTATTTTTGAGTCCAAGCGTCAGTGATTGCGCTGTGTGCCGACAAAATTTTCGTTTGTAATTCACTTTAAAAGGGCTGGCAAGCTTAAAAGTGAGACTTTCGTGGTGCTGAGAAGAAAAAAAGAGACACCCATTTTAGATTTTCTATGTATTATTTAAGCCATTTCACAAAATTATTTAAAAAAAAAGTCTATTTTATTCCTACACTTAGTCTTTGTAAATTGGATCACTAAGTGCAGCGTACTTAATATTGGAAGAACAAATACTTATAATGTATACAGCCTGAACAACATCAACCTAGAGAAGTCGACTTGTGAAAGAGACCTAGGGGTACTTGTAAGCCCGGACCTACGGCCTAGAAAACAGTGCGTTAATGTTCGAAATAAGGCAAACAGAGTATTGGGTTTTATATCTAGAAGTGTAAGTAACAAGAGTGCAGAGGTCTTATTGCAACTATATCTTGCGCTAGTTAGGCCGCACCTCGATTATGCGGTTCAGTTCTGGTGCCCCTATTATAGAATGGATATAAATTCACTAGAGTCGGTGCAGCGAAGAATGACAAAAATGATTCAGGGACTTAGACACCTTCCATATCAGGATAGGTTAAAGAAACTTAACTTGCATTCCCTAGAAAGACGAAGAGTGCGGGGAGATATGATAGAAGTATTTAAATGGGTGAAAGGAATCAATAAAGGGGATATAGAAAAAGTTCTTATAATATCCGAGCAGGATAGGACTCGGAGCAACGGATTCAAGTTGGATAAGTTTAGGTTTAGGAGGGAGATAGGAAGAAACTGGTTCACAAATAGGGTGGTGGACGAGTGGAACAAGCTTAGCAACTTTGTAGTAAGTGCGGGAACTCTGGAAAGTTTCAAAAGGAGGCTAGATAGATTCATGGATAATAGAGAGTGGTAGTAACTCTCGACAGGAGCTGCCATGCAGACTCCTTATTTTCTTATGTTCTTATACCTAATAGTAATGATTGTAAGCCTAAGTTTGTGGTAATGTTTTTTAACCCCATCTGACTTAAATACATTTGGGTTAATATCATTTCGGTCATGCAGAGAATTTATGATTTTAAATTTATGTTAGGTTAGATTAAGTAAGGCGAGCTTAGGTTGAAATTATGTTTTTCCGATGGTTTTTGATGTGTTTTGAATGATTCTGACCTACATCCAAACAGGTGCATGACCGAAACGATAATTTTACCTACATTTGTTGCTTGAATGTACTGTACTGTATTTCTTTGACAGTTATGGATCCAGTGCCAACACTGGAAGAATAACAAACTCTACTAAGGAAATGGCAAATAAGTAAATTTTTTTGTACCTTCTACAAGCAAAGAAAAACCATCACTAAACTATGTCTAATTTAAGCAAGAGTGAGCTACTGAAGATGCAAGTGGGTTATGTAGGTCCTATATCCTACATTATGACCAACATCAGTGTCCTAAATCTACAAATCTTTTATTTTTATAATTACCCCTGTTTTGTATCACTTATAAATCACCCGGTATTGAATTTTGAGAATTTTATGGTTGCAATCAATAGTTTGGGAAGTTACGAACGGGTTCTGTTCTTGAGGACATTCTTAAATCGTAAATGTATGCAAGTCAGAACACATGTATGTGCATACCGTAGTTACAGAACAATGTTTAAAATTCTACTATATCATAGCCCAAGTCCTTATATACTGTACTTCTAAAATCACTTAATTTAAGAGAAAAGAAGAAATAGAATGACAAAATACAGTAAATGAAAGTAAAAAATAAGTCATCAGATAAATAAAATACTATAAATTTAAAATTTAACCTCGTTTGTATCAGCGGATGTTCGTAAGTTGGGGACCCCCTGTATATATGCATGGGAATCCAAGGGCAGCAGAGCTCCCCGGTTAGGTTAGGTTAGGTCATTTGTGGGAGAAGTGTCATGCAATTGTCTAAACTACTGATTATAACCATAAAATTATAAAAATTTAATACCAGGCGACTTTTACAAATTAAGCTAATATGGAGGACTTCCCAGCCCCCCACCCCCGTCTCAGTAAGAGTAAGTTCGCCCATGGCAAGTGTTATGTTAGGTTAACTTGAACTTTTAAATAAACACCTTTTAACACAAATGCCATAATTACGACAGTAGCCACTATAAAACACAGTGAATTTGCAGCATTTTTAAATTTGTTTTCTTTGATAAATCAGCAGCTGTGAAGTCGTAATAATTACCGCAAATTTACCCACAGACGATAATAACAATAACTGGCTGTAACTCACCTCACATTTAGGTTCTTTGCTGGATTTCATTGATTTTTTACTAGATTTTGCTTCAGTATCCAAGGCACTACTGGATGTCAGCACCACAGTGGTCAGACGATCACCATCACCAATCTGACAAGTCTCCCACTGACCAGACACAGCCTTTTTGATAGTTACTTCAACTATGCTATCTTGAACTTTAGAAGTCACTCCAGACTTTGCTATCTGAAGTGGACTGCACACCACTGTCAATCCGTAGTGTAGCATAGTGTGCCCGCCACCAATACTAGATAACTCCACTCGGGCACTATGATCATCCACCAGTTTCGCAACAACACTACTCGGCAGAACATTACCACAGTTCAGGACAACACAAAGGCTCTCTTTAGTTTGTTTAACTGTATAACTTGGGATAAGTGTGACTCTGCTTTTGGATGGTGTCGGTTCAAATACATTATCTTCCTCTTCTTCAGTTGCATCGATTCCCTTCAAACTTTCCTCTTGCGATGACAAAGACACTTCAGAGGAATTATCTCCATCACTGTTAGTCCGGTAATCTGGCTCACATTCAATACCTGAGTCTGAGGAAGGGGAATGATCATGAACCGTTCCCTGATTTTTCTTGTTTGCTGGTATAACACTAAGAGTAAGAGTTAACTTCTGAGTTGACACATCAAACTTGGCTGCACTTAAATCCTCGTCAACTGGATAAGGAAGTGGCAGCTCTAGTTTGTACTGTGGGGTTGAATCAGTGGAAAGTACAATTGACTGTGGCCACACATTAGCATCAACCTGTGAGGCTCGTGTCACACCAGGAAGTTCAACCTCAACTTCGAGGGTGTGAGGACGCCAAGCTGGACCACACTGAGGTATCAACTGTACAGAGAAGTCTTGCAAATCCATTTTGCTCACATGTTTCACCTTGTACTGCGGTTTTAATGGCCCAGCCACCTCTTCCTTCATTACAGAATTTGTACTTTCTTCATTTATATTTTTAATTTCATTTTCAAGAACTTTAGTCCTCTCATCTTGATGAAAACTCATTTGCTCACTTGCCTCAAACAGTTTCTTATCTACTACTCGTTTTATCACAGACTGCATTGGCTTTCCTATGTACTTCACACTAGTCTCAATCTCCTCTGGTTGCTCTGCTTTTATCTGAAAATTTTTGCACAAGCTGTCCATTGCCGTTTGTATGAGTGTGTGTTTCATGAGGTGACTGCCGGAGGCCAGTTGTAAAGCATCGGGGTGGAAGACGACATCATGCACCACCGCCTGTCTACCAACATCATTCACAGCCTTACTATCGTCGCCCCTTAGCAACCGCACCTTCTTACTTAGCAACTCCCGCCGGGGTTTGGGTAAAGCATGTGGCCAGGACCAATTTTCACCTTTATTTACACCGTCATCGACCCTGGTAAAGCTGGGTTTCTGTACAACATCACTGCTGCATATATTCACAAAAACGGGGCCGCTCTTTTGGCCTCCCACTGCCAACGCAAAACCGGGACTTGGGTGAACGAAAACAGCCTCCACGCCCCGCTCTTTTTCCAATTGTTTTAGTTCTCTTTCAAACTGTTTTTGATTTTCTGGTTCACAAACCTCTTTGGCATACTCTGAGAAGAGTGCACGAAACTTCTCATCTTTCAATGATTTCGCTAAGAGGGATAAATCTTCTTGAGAAAACACATCAGCACAGGAATAAGTTGCTTCCGAAGCCATATTGGGAGTAGTATGTTACGTCGCTTAAACCACCAAACTGCTCCAGTACCTGCCAAACCGCCAGTCATAGAAAACGACCCTTTAATTTATTGATTAATGTACGATAGCATATCTTTTGGGTATATTGAAACAAAAATTAACCTCGAATTTACCTCATAAATTAATATAAAAATGCATATACCGTTATTATGACATAGCACATATTCACTAAGAGCTGTAATAAGCATTAGAAAACGCAGAGCATCAGCGTTCTCACTGACCCGAGGTAATGTTGACGTGTTACTATGGGCTTTAAATGCCCCCACCCCCACCCTTAACTACGACATACCACAACGTTCATTTGTCTTTTTTAGGTTTTCTTAATCATTATTAACTTTAAAAAACTACGAATATAGGATAAAAGTATTTCGTTGAGTGAAACATCTTTTAAAATGACTCGGCTTGAATTTATCTCATAACTGGCTGGTGGAAACGAATCTCTCGTAACTCGGAAACCTTCAGAGGAAAGGCAATTTTTCATTGATTTTGTCCCCCCTCGTGTTCACAGCATGTATATTGATTTTTTCGCAGTAATACGTACCAAATTATAAAGTTATTTAATAAAGTTTTATATATAGAGCTGTTTGAGACAACTCAGGCATATTTGTCATACCATTTTGATTGAAAATAATACTTTAAAGTGCCAATAGCATTTGTGTAATTTGCAATACCAAGTAAAGTTGGCTGTTAAAAGTTATGTTTTGGTTTTTTTGCACATTTAATGAATAAATTAATATAATTTTAAGTACTCCTGTCATCAAAAGGGTTAAACATCAAGAATTGTTCTCAAGTCTTGATGTAAACTGCCAACCATGTTCATGTTTTTTTTTTATGAATCGTTAGAAATAATACATACTGTACTTGTATCCGTGGATGTGACTGTTTACTGGTAGCCCAATTACATATTAGTGATCATATTCATTATTTAGATCAACCGATTTTATTGTGTATGAATATAAGTGTAGCAGCCAAATGACATGTTAACTCAAGAGTGCAGTATCATTTGTCTTAAATATTTTATTACATATGCATGTAAGGCAAACTTTTAATATGTTGGGATTGCTACTTTATTTATCTTTCTATAACCTTCTTGAATATATTTATTTTATTGTATTTATTTTCTGTCTTTCTTTCCTTTTTATTGCTTTCTTTCAATATTCTTATTGATTTGCGTATTTATTCTCAGCTTTAATTAGTTAGACTGTATTCTGTTTAGTGGGTTTGTATGGTTACGTGATATTATATTGTCTAGCACTCAGGATGGATGGATGGAAACTCTAGGTGGTGGTTTTCTTATATAAAATATATTATATGAAAGACAGTCTGGTGCTGGAGATGCCGTGTGGCGAGAAGCTTGCTTGAGGAGGTAACTGTGCAGGAGCTTCGTTAGAGATGTTGCTTGTTCAGTAACGTAGGGTAGATTGAATCCCAACGATACGATACGAAGTCTTTAGTTAAGAGGTGAAAGAAGATTATTGGGGGTTGAAGGAAAAGTGGTGAAACTGAAATACAGTAGGAGTAGAAAGAATCTGGGCTCAACCAGATCGCTTCATCTTTCTTATTGGTGTTTTGTCTTTGTTCTGCTCCCTTGGGTCGTCAGACCTTTGTATTAATATTGGTTTATTTATATAATGCTGCTTATTATTATTATTTTTATTATTGTTGGAGTTAGTGAGCCCGCCCAGGTCCTTGTGTAACTGGGAGGGTAGCCACATTTTTTTTTTTTGAGGTGTTAGTTAAGTGTTAGTTGTGTTAGTCTAAAGGTACACTGTATGGAGAGGCCTGCCAGGTTCTTAGTGGAGCTGGTTGGTCACTCTCATCTTTATTCCTCTAGTAATGTTTTATGTAGAAATGTGTATATTGAGGCAGGAGGTGGTTCAATTACTTCTTCCTGGCTGATATAGCTGGGAGGGTAATCACATTATTATTATTAATATTATTAATATTTTATTATTTTTTTTATTTTTATTTTTTTTTTTGGAGTTAGTGAGCCCGCCCAGGTCCTTGTGTAGCTGGGAGGGTAGTCACATTTTTTTTTTTTTTTTTTTTTTTTACTAAGATGTTAGTTCAATGTTAAATGTTAAATGTTAAATTAGTTATGTTAGTCTAAAGGTACACTGTATGGAGAGGCCTGCCAGGTTCTTGTGGAGCTGGTAGGTCACTCTCATCTTTTATTCTCTCTATTAATGTTTTATATGTATATTGGGGCAGGAGATGGTTCAATTACTTTCTTCCTGGCTGATTTAAACCAACTGTGTTCTTGGAATTCTTCGTTGTCTATATTATTTATCCAGTTTTGATATGTTTCTGTGTTAAGTTCAGTCACTTTTTTCCAAATATTTACAGCTTTGTTGTGTATATCTACATTGATTGCTAAGAGGTTTGCTCTCTTGTGTAGCTGTTCATTATTGATGTGGTCTGTATATTTTATGTTATATATAAATCTGAGGGCTATATTTTGTACTGTTTGTAACCTTTTAATGCACGTTTTACTAAGGGTGTTCAATGGGATGGGTGGGTAGTCCATAATTGATTTGACAAGGGCAATATAAATCTTTCTTTTGTTATTAATGCTAAGGTTCTTAAAGCGTTTTATTTTTGATAATCTTATTCTTGCCTGTCGTTCTTTATCTTTTAAGTATGTTATATATCCTCTTTTTGTTAGTTTTAATCCAAGCATCCTGCCTTCAGTGTCGTATGGGTATAGTTCCTGGTCGACTATTACTGGACTTGTTTTAATCTTGGCTATTGGTATTATCTTGAATTTGTTCTTATTTGTCCTGATTTTCCATTTTTTCTCAAAATCATTTATGTTTTTTATCGCTTTTACCGTGTAGAGTGCCATAAATTGAGTTGATTTTCCTGGGTATGATACTATTTGAGTAATATCATAAGCAAACATTACATATTCGCTAAAGGGGGTAGGTTGAGGTGTGTCTGAAGTATAAATTGTATATAGTGTTGGAGAAAGGCATCCTCCTTGAGGTACTCCACTCTCAAGATTAAACATAGTTCCCATAAAGTTTCCAATTTGAATTTGTGCTCTCCTATCATCTAAATAGTTACACAATATTCTTAGCAAGTATTCGTTAAGTCCCAGTTTTAATATTTTATATTTCAAGCCTAAATGCCAAACTTTATCAAAAGCCTTAGAAACATCCCTTAAAATTATATTGATCTGGTTACCCTTGCTTTTTTCTATTGCAATTATTTCCGTTATTGTAGCTATTGCAGTTAGGGTATTTCTATTGGGCATAAATCCATGTTGTCTGTTGTTAGTTTTCCCATGTTGTGTTAAAAAGGCTATAAGTCTTGAATTTAATATTTTTTCCAATAGTTTCCCGGTAATTTCTAATAAAGATATTGGCCTGTAGTTTAATATTTCCTTATTGTCCTTACCCTCCTTAGGAATAAATATCATTTTAGCATATTTTAGTTTGTCTGGAAAGTAACCAGTTATTAAGCATGCGTTATAAATGTTTAATAGTGTATTTAAAAATGTTTTCAGGTAGATTCATGATCATATTTCGTGTAATACCTGTGAGCCCAGGGGCTTTTTCCTTAAATTTCCTCAGACAGTGCATCATTTCTCCCATGGTTATTATTTGATTATTAGGTAATAAGTTATAGTCTATATATTGCCTTGGGGTGATTCTATGTATTTGTCTTCCCATTTCTTCTTCTATCCTTTCTTCGTGTTCACTATCAAAATCTTCATTTCCTCATCTGATATTTTAAAAACTTTTACCCATTCCCTTTTGAATGCTGACTCTTGTTCATTTTCCTCGTGCAATGTTGTTCCATTTTGGTCTTTAATGTATGGTGTTTTTTGCTTGTTGTGCCCCATCATCTTGTTTATGGAAGTCCACAATTTTTTTGTGTCTTTAGTCATGTCAGCCGCCATTATAATATCATTCCATTTTTTATTGTTTGCTTCCTTACATGCGTCTCTTAATTTTATCTGTAGTGCTATCTGTGTCGTATATAGCCATCTGTTACTGCCGTGTCTTTCCATATACCTGTTTATTTCATTGTAATAGGTCTGGATTAATTTAACTTCTTCTGATAGTCTGTTGTTGGGTAATGTTCTAAAGTGTGAAGTAGGAGTGTGTTTGGTTATAGATGTTTTTATTGCTGAGTGCAGTCTGTCCATTTCTGAGTCTATATCTTCTGTTGTTTTCCCTTGTAGGTTAATCGAGTGGTGATTACTTAAGTCGTCTTTGAAGCTGTCCCAGTCTGTTTTACTCATTTTCAGTCTCTTTTTTATTGGTATCTGTATGGGGCTTGTTGACAGTGTTAGTATAATTGGCAGATGGTCACTGCCTGTAAGAGGTCCCTGTATTATATGGTAATTGAAAAAGGCTTTGTTGTTGGTAAAAATTTTGTCTGGTGTCGATTGTGTATTGTGATTTCTCCAGGTTGGAAAGTTAGGACCCAGATGATTGATTTTCCCTAAATTTATTAATTGATTAAGGGCGTTTCCCACGACGTTATTATTTGTATTGTCAAAAATCCTATGTCTGGCGTTAAAGTCTCCTAAGATGTACATCGGATGACTATTGTTAGCCAATTTTAATAGGTCTTCTATAGGTAAGTAGGGTCGTCTCGGTGGGAGATAAGTAGTAGCAATAATTACGTCTCCTTGAGTTGTATTTATTTTTATTGCTAGAAATTCATCCTGGAAGTCATCAATTAGTTTAAATTTTAAGTTTCTTTTAACCGCTATCGCTACTCCGTCATTTTTCTCGCCCGATTTATTTCTTTGGTTTACATAATAGTTAAAGAGTTTTATGTTGTTGTTTTCTGTCTCACCGTGACTGTTTATTAGTATAATGTCAGGGTCAATTTCTTGATATATATTACTTAGGTTAATTCTCTCGGTCTTCCAGTTTCTTACGTTGTGTTGTATTATTCTTAAAGTTCTTACTGTTTGTCTATTGTCCATTATTTCTTAAACTTGGATTGTAACTGTTGAAGTGGAGACCTGTCGT